ATATTATAATTTCGTTTCTATTATTAAAAGTACATTTTTTTTGTTTGTTTTCGTTTTTATTCTTATGTTTCATCTTTGTTTTTCTCTTTTTTTAGTCACATTTAACTGTTGTCGCATCATTGTCGTTCGCTCATTCGGCTCTGTCACTTCGGTTTTGAAATCGACGAAAAAAATCCTCCCTTTACTTCGGTAAAAGACTTTTTATGCCATTTTTTCAAGACAACGATGGATCTTCTTTTATTTACTTTCCTCTTTATTCGTTTCTTCACATATTCGATTTTTTTTTCCTCAATTTCAATCCATTGAATTGGATGTTTTTCGATTTCGATCGTATTCGATCTTTTTTCGGTTTGTCAATTTTATGGTGAGTTCAATACAATTTAGCTTCCACATTATTTAACCACACGAAATGTTTGCAAACACATAAACACAAAACAACAAAAACCAACCAACATGAGAACGATACCGAAACAATATTCAAAGCAGAAATATAAAAAAAAATCGATAAAAATCATAAACACACACATTGAGTAAGTTGAATTGTAGTTTGTATGCTCGCATATAATCTGTGTAAGGCTTACACACGGTAAGCAAAGATTAAGCTATTTAAAAGAAGAAGTCGAAGAAAGAAAAAAACTTGTAGAGAAAATGACAAAGAGAAAAATTTAATAATATTTAAAAAAAAAATGCCTTAACAAAGAAACTTTATTTAAAAAAAAAAAACAAACAAATATAATGAGGAAAAGAGAGAAACAAAAAAATAACTCACTCACTCACACACAAAAACATACACACACAAAAGAAAACTTTAGCAAATTTGTAGGGACGAAACTTATAGTGGAAATGATTTAAGTGTGTTCGATTTTAAATTTAATTAATTCATTTTTGTCACTTGACTTGCGTATGTGCAACCAAAAAAGGACGCATACGAAAAAACACATTGATATGAAAACAAACCTAAGGAAAATGGAGCAAAAAAATACAATGATAATTCTTTTTGTTGTGTGATCATTTTTTTTTTTTTTGAAGAACAACAACACCTTTTTGTACTACATCGACTGAAAATTGCTTACAAGAAAAAAAATATGTCAAAAAGAAGAAAAAAAATTAGACAAAGTTTAAGGAGAAAAATAAGAAAATGAACGAAAATGACTGCTGTATTTGCTATTATCGTTTTTTACGCTTCGAAATGTGAACAAGAGAGAGAGAGTATAGATTCTGCCACTTAAGAATTGTTCTATTTTTTTCTGTTCATTTTCATCAAGATTGATGCAAACATTGATTTTCATGCAAAAAGATTCTGGACTGCTCTCTCATAGAACACTTTTTTTCACATTTGAGACAAGAAACAAAAAAAAAACAGACACAAAATGACATTTGATACAGTGAATGGCCTTCACTGTGATTGCATGCTTTTTTCCCGTGTCGAAGACAATTGATGAGAAGAGAAATATCAAAAAAAAAAAAAATTTGAAAAAAAAAGTTTATCAGCAAATGGTGGCAAAAATGGCACTCCCCATTTATGGGGGATATAAATGTTCAATGTGTCCATTTTTTTAATGAGAAAATTTAAACGAAGCTCCTTTTTACGAAAAAACCGTGTATGTTCATTTCACATTTGTACTAAGATCAAATTGCATTTTTTCGCATCAACATTGAATTTTTCGACCTATATTTTTGTCGCCCTCCCGAATTCACACAAAAGGGGTTATGGACACACAAAAAAGCTAAAATTCACTTTTATTGCTCGTTTTCGTCATACACACTGTATTGTGTACATATTTACGAATACGGTCATTTTTCTATTCTTATCCCTTTTTTTATACAAAACATAGATGTTAGATACGTAGTGAATTTAAAACACCCACAAATTCAAAGGAATGAATGTCTTGGAAGGTAAAGATGTTTTTTTTTTAGATTTTGAAATTGAATGTTGGCTCACATTTGATTTGGTGGTCAAATGATTTGAACAAAGACAGATATAGACAATTTCTCCTTTGGTTCCGAATTTTGTCGACACATATTACATACTGAAATAGAAATAGAAATGATGGCACAACTTGAGTCATACAAATCATTCCCGAAACCTCTCGAATGCAAAAAAACAGAAAGCAAAGGTGAAGAAAAAGAGGAGTACATCGTTCGATGTAAACGGAAAACCAAACAAATGCTCTACAGCAATCACTTAAACACTTAAATGAAGAAAAAAAGCAATGCTAACGGAACAAATAATACTCTTTTCACTCTCTCACACACTCATACCAACACATCCATAATTTTACAATTCATCATTTAGACGAAACAAAGAAAAACACGGCAAGCATCTGTGAATCAGCTAGCAACAATTCTGAAGTACACATTTAAGATGAACTCTAGTAATTCAAAATGTAAAAAACAAAACATATATATAAATAAATATATATTTGAAATAGTTGAACTATCAAATACAAATAAAATTCAAACCAAATGATCAAAGAAATCTAATCTAGTGAAATTGTTGAACCCATTTTTTTTCTTTCATTTTTTTTATTGCATACAAATATACATATTGAAATATCGAATATCAAATCTTTACATTTACCATAAATATATTGCCGGAATACCAAAAGACAGGCAATGACATCTCTAAACCAACTTATTGAATCATCGAATATTTTGAGCAACTTTTTTCAATCGTGTGTGGCTTGAGTTGAATCTAATCAACTTTACGGCGACACTAGCAGCTTCTCTGCACACACATCGTAGAAGAGAGTACAAAAATCATAGTATTTTGGTAAATGCATCGAGTAACCATTGCAAAACATCAATACGTTTTGGCTAACGCATAGTACCGGCCCACAGAGAAACTGTTAGCGTCGCCGTAAAGTTGATTATATTCTAGCAAAGCCATACACGTTTGAAAAAAGTTGCCGAAAAATACAATGATTCAATGAGTTGGAATTGAGATGGCATTGACTGCTATGTGTCAAATGACCTACATTTGAAATGTATTGTGGCACTTTCCCTATGACATTTACAAACAAACGAGAAGAAGATAAAAACCAATCCGCAAATCGCGACAGAAGGGTTTAAGTTCATTTAATGATACACCCACATCATGTCAACATTCGCAAACGCAGAAAATGTAACAATGTTCTAAATGTCCTTTGGTGCACTTTGGACTCAGACACACTGGATTATTTGATGGAACATTTGTCGATGGCTTTGCACGCTGATGACATACAAAGAGACTTTAAACTAAATGGTAAAACGATGCAGATTCCATTGAGATATTCTGCACTTGGAACATTGGAAGTTTTTTTTCCACAAGTTCAGCTCAATACACGGCAATTTATTCATTTTTTTCTTGAATGCGTTCACACAAGATATGTTTTGTTAATTTCTCGTCGATTTGAAATAATTAATATCGCCTATGAAAAAAGCAAAAAATTAAAAAAAAAATCGCTGCAATTATGATTTGATTTTTTCAACAAATTCGAAGAATATTTTGAATCGGCTTGGCGATTGTGTATATATAAATAGAAAAAAAGCGAGAAATTGTGGTTAAATTGCATCAATTGGTTCCATCGTTTGGGAAGTCATTAGGAATCCTCTGGAATGTTGCATACTGTACGATACTAAATCATGCAAAAACACAAACCAAAATGTCTATACCGAAATTGAAATGCATTCAAACACACAAAATAAAATGTGTCCACTGTCCATCGTGGCCAAGGACAAGTTCTTTGCCGGCAGCGATTTTGAAATTGCACAAAATTGCATCGAAAAAACAATTAGAAAGGGGGGAAAAAATCAAATGTGTGATTTTTTATACCAACTCTGAAGCTTTTACATTCAAAAATAAATCAAAATGATCGTTGGCTCTCTCTCGGCTATCATTTCAAAAATGAGACGCAGCCACCAAAATGGAAACGAAGTCAAAAAGCGACATGTTTCATGAGCATTTTTTCAGTCAAATCGAATGCGATGACACTTGTGCACTCAATGCATCAAATTTTGGGTAGCATGCAATAAAAAAATTTCTGAATTGATTTAAGACACATTAAAAAACACATTTAGATCAATAAAACTACAAACAAAAATGAAGTCCCTCTTTAAAAACAACAACAACAACAAAAAAAAACACGTTGATTCATAAGCAAATATCTAAATTTTTACAACATCGCCGACGTAATAATGTTATAGGTGACATACACACACACACACACACACACACACACACACACACACACACACACA